GCGACGGCAGAATTGAGAATTGAGAATTCAGAGTTCAGTGAGTGCGTATCATTGAAGTATGTGATTATTAAGAACCTTCGAGAAATACAGGGGCATTAAGAACAATTGAAGTTTCATTTTGAAATATCATGGAACGTACAAGAAGTGACATTAGTAACGTCAGCGGGGCTGGCGTCCCTGTCTTTTAAAACAACGAATTTGTAATAAATCCGATATATATAATATGTATATGATAATATAATTTAAATTAATAAGAAACTTAAAGTAATATCGTTCATCTCGTCTCATCATGATAACGGTTGCTGTAAAGGAATCAAAAAGTTGGGATCATGTACATATAAAATATTAATATAGACACGTAGCATCCGAAAAACTTACTTTCATTTAAATGTGAACACGTGAAAATATCAAATATTTTTATACCGAAAGTAATCTCAAAATCCAAACGAAATAAAAAAAAAAATCTTACTATTATTTAAATTCAGAGCAATCTTATCGAAGCGACAAAAGCAGTACAATTCAAAACTTTTTTATTTTCGTAGAGATTATAGTGATTAAAATGAGAGACGGTAAACCTTGTAAACAGAATATAATTCTTAAATTCATTGTATTACTACAGATATATGTTTATATAGGAGTGATACAGTACTTGTTGTTAAACTTATTACTCATAACAACTACGTATAAAGGATTTTATTCTCAGAGTGAATTTCAAAAGCGCAAGCGAGAGGGTAGGACTATAAACTATATTACAATATATATGAAGAATGAAGATGTCTACTGAAACCTGCTTAAGATCCATCTCAAGAACATTCACTTGTTCAAACCCTCGACAAACAAATTAAATACAGAAAAAGTTATTAAAAATGGCAGCACTACTAATTAATCGTTAGCAATAAATAATAAAAATTCTCAAGATGGTTTCTTATAAACATCTAAAAATTAAAGAGATGCACTCTTTATCTATATATTTAACAAATATTTTTGACTTTTAATATGTTTTCGTGCTGCTGTCAAGTAATAATTATTTATTTTAACAATGTTTATGCTTTCTCAAGTTAGTCTTTTTAAAAGTTTCTGTAACTACATATTGTACGTTGGATCAATTACAGTCTAGACCAAATTGAACCTCTGTCAATAGGTTCACTCGTGATTTCAGACCGTCTTTGTTCTACGGAGCTTGTATATGTAATTAAATAGTTTCACATTCAGTTTTGATAGATTGATTTTAATGGAATTCTGTAATTATCTTCTATCAATACATTTAAATTTCTCCTTACCTTAACATAATTTGTTATATATTTCGAATAGTTATTATTTATTACCTAAATATTATTGAGTATTGTCTTATGATCATGCAAAATATTTTATACAACTAATATAGTTTTTTTTTAATAAAACAAATTCTCCCGACGTTTCGTTTACTTTAGTTTTTTCGTTTAGCAATCGTCATCACGGGCAGACGATATGCGATCGTTTGAAAATAGTAAAATATGTAGTTTTTAATAATAATAAAATACGAGTTATCCAAAATATTAGTTTCATTTAAATGAATACTCGCGAATTTCTTATATCTCATTAAACTAATATGTGTTTTGTATGATAGTTTTGCGTAAAGCCGCTACTAGTAGCTTGTATATCCATTCTGTAATCTTCACTCAACCAATAACACCCAGCCAATAACCTCTTTCCTTTCCCGATCCCTTTGACTTGGGCTCAAGTACACATCGCTTAACCAAATAAAGCCTACTCCAGTTTAACCACCGATCAAAGCAAATAAAATCCTATACCAATATATAACGTTTATGTTCGACGTTTCATACATAAAAAAATAAATAATTAAATTAATATGTACTACGCAAGTTTAATTTTTGATTATTAACTACATACTAGTCAGACGAGATGTCAGAGTGACACTCAAATCGCGTATAGTACGTTTGATTTAAGCTGAGCTTCGCATTTGTGTGAGTGCACACGGATAGTGTAGGTGAGGTGTCAAATTTTTGAATGAAACGTTCTTTTCTAGTTTTAAACCGGTTTGTACTGCTTTTACTTCGCCCCGCACCATCCTCACTTCACTACTGTATTTCACACAGTACTGATAGCAATATCAAATGTTGAAAACGCAATGTCAAGTGAATAAGAAATTGTGGTTTTTTCTAAATTCTTATTGATCAATCATTTTTTTTTCCTCAATATTCAAAATATTTCCATCTGGACTTTTACAAGTTTTGCTTATTTTATAGCACTTATGTTATGTATCTATTTAAAATATAATAAAATTTAATTCTAAAAGATTTTTGTCTAACTCTACTTTTACTTTCATTCATACAAATGCAAAGCTCAGCTTAAGGCCTCGGCCTCGAATTGTGCGGGCAGCGGAGCGGCAGGGGGAGCGGCAGGATCTTACGAGTATAATCAAATGGACTGACCCTCGAATACAGCGGTGCCCGCTGCCCGCTAGTTTGGAGAACAGTACGCGTTTCCGTGCCGCCGCCGCCGCCGCTTCGCTGCCCGCAAAATTCGAGGCCAAGGCCTAAGTCTAACGGACTGTAGTAAATTCGAAAATATTAGTTTCATTTAAATGAGTACTAGAGAAAATCTTAGATCTCATTAATAAGTAATGAATACGGATTTCGAAACAAGGATAAGAAAATACTTATATATGAAATAATAGTTGGTAAAATGAAAGCTATGTTCCAAATGAAATAACTCTCACAAAAGAACAATTTTTTCATGCATTCAATGTATACAATAGTTCCAATATCCGGAAAAATTCAGAAGGGAACAAGATATGGATTCTTTTCAGTACTTTTGAATGACTGTCTCTGTGAGCTTCAAATGAATAAGTATTTTACATGTGAAAGAAATAAATAATTCATATCTCAATATATTCACACCTCGGAATAGATTACGCGTCTTTATCAAGATGTTGAAATAACATGATGTGCTGATAAATTTTATCATGAATAAATTACTTTTACTATGTTAAAGTAAGTATTGAAAAGTGGGCTCTAATAAATATACAAATTCAGAAAGGAATACTCTAAAATCAGACTATTATTTTACATATCGAAGTTTTATGTTTTTAAATAAAACTAATATTATCAGATTACTACGCGATTTTTATTTTTGATTATAAATTACATACTCCCGACGTGACGTTACTTTACAGCAACCGAATTTCGGGAGTATGTAGTTTATGTTCAAAAATAAAAAATCGTATAGTAAATCCGAAAATATTAGTTTCATTTGAATGAATACTCGCTAAAATCTTAGACCTAGTCTTAGTTTTTGTTAACTATTACGTTACACAGAAACTCAATAACTAAAAAAATAATTTTGATAGAATTGTTAATATAATAAACATCTATAGTTTTGTTATAACACCAACATTATTATTACTTTATAATGCTGTAGACTTCAAGACGCAACAAGCTGGTGATAAATTGTAATCATTAATAATTGTCAATTGAATATCTATTACTTATACTGCCCTTCTGTATTTCTTTAGATCATTTCCCTAGTAGGTAATAATTTTATCTCGAGCTGTCTTCAGAAATCGTTGGAATTCTTTTAGTTTCTCCAGTAGATAAGTTCCTTTATGTTCTCAAGATGAATAGGATATAATTATATTTACATATTATTTCACTATAAAAATATCTTAATTACTGTAAAAATAAGTCACTAATATCGTAAACTAATGGAATAATCACGACAATAATTATTATTATTAACTTCGATATAATATTTGACTTACACCTACATTTATTTAGATACCATTTTACATACCTCCCAACTATATTTAATGATGTTATAAATAAATAAAATTTAAAAATAAAACTTTTATTCAATTTTAATATATCCAAGTTGAAGTTTTCTTTGAAATATAACTTACTATGTTTTATAATTATATTTATTTATTACTTATATTTATAATTTTAGTTTATATTGTCTAACTTCTGCAACGGATCTTTGAAACGAGTAGACGAATTCCCTCATAAAATTCTTCGATAGTTATCTCAGAAGAAAAAATGTACCAATTGTAGTTCAAAAATGAATTAAAATGACAATAAAAATCAAGGATAAATCCGCGTGCTATAGCTAGTGTAATATAATTCAGGATTCAGTACAGGGCGTCTCCCGGGACTAGTCAGTCGGGGGTTGTCGCCAGTTAGTCGCCGGCCGTTGTGGGGGTCGGTCGTGTCTTGAATCTTATGGAAGACGCGTCCATATGGTACATATCGGCAATATGACGTACATTAATGTTTTTGAACTATTAGTGCGAGGATGTTGAGTGATTTTCATACTAAAGGCTTAAGTAGACGCTAATATCGGTTGACAATTTTTTGTTTTGAGTTACATCCCGTTTTCAAGGACCATATTTTATCGAGTAGTTAATTTCATTATTATAGATTGTTTTCAATTGTATCAAATATGTATGAAAAATGATTGAAATAATAATAATAAAAAGATGGTGTCACAACAGAGACTTCGTAAAGTAACTTAAATTAAAATGTATTTATCATAACTTCGGTATGTCTAAAATGTATTTTTGTAACTTCAACCTCGAAAACTGACGCCATAAATATTATAAAATACTATCTTAAATCAGCAAATATTTTATACAAATTATGAATCATACCACTTCTGATCACCTTCCTAAATTTGTTTACATTTGGAGGCAGTCAATCAACGTTCAACACTAACACTACATGAACACTATTCATATTGTAATCCAGACACTCTAATAATAGCTTCATGTATTTGAAAATAGTTTGAAATTTAATATAAAAAAACTACAATTTAATTCAATTTTGAATTCATTATCGCGATTCTAATAAACAAATAAAAGGACAATTAATTATTTCGTGAAAGCAGAATATGTGAATATGATATGGACAACTGGTAATGACAGGGGGATTTAAAATTATTGTTATTAATTGCAAGAATAACTAATGAATCAATTAAAATAAATCGCGTTGAATACCAAACAAAACATGGCTTCGTCTAACGGAAAAGGCAGTGGAAAACTCACTGCATCCATAGACAGTTTAAAATTATCGAGTAAGAATACATCGAAGCATGCTTCATCGGAGTCGGTATTGTCAAGGAAGGATAAGGAGTGCTTGCAGATGCAAGAGTGCAAGAAGAAGCTGCTAGCCATAGAACCGCAGATAATAATCAGAGACGAAAATGTCGTACTACGATCACCGCCTCAGAAGAAGATAGTAATGCCACCGCAGATAAATACAGAGGTACGATATTACTATTCCTATATAAAACTATCAATAACTACAAAAAAATATATATATTTATAATTCTTTTGTCTATAAATTATCGTAATAAGAATAAGATATCCCAATTGGAAATAATGGCAGAAGAATAATTAAAATTGTCTTTGTAAACAAAGTCGACGTTGAACTTAAGAGATGAGCGAGCGAGCGTGAAATCGATTTTGCTAACTGAAATACTTCCACGAGCTGCCGAAATTAGATGCGTTCAATTTATTTCTATTTGCATCTTTGGATTTTCTTGTAACTATATGACTTAATGCATTATGTTGGTTAAATCATGCGATTGTAAATAAATATTAAAACAGAACGTTAAATAAGGCTATCCAAAATCACTCCATCGCAAAATATTTTTGAGTGACATTTTTAACATCTGATTTATCATTACATCAAATTACATCAAAATGATATTAAAGTCATAATAATATTAGTGGTCTATACATATGTATACACTTAAAATCTTTTTGCAGCTTTTCTAATGCGTTTTTATTTTGTTTTCGTTATTTCGTTTATATTGTTTTGTTAGCGTTTCTGTTTGTCTTGGAAGAAAAATAAATAGAACCAAATTGGAATTTAACTTAGGCTGTATTTTTAATAAAGATAGATACTGACAAAAAATATCTAATATATTGATGTGAATGTTAGGTAGTTTTTGGCATGTTTGGAAATGATTAAATATATTTAAAAAATATTTTCTGTTATTAGAGTTAGAAAAATACGAATAATTGGAGATGTAACTTATTTGATTTGCACCATTATACTTCAATTTTTTTGAAACTTGATCCTATTTTAACAAGTTATTGAGTAAAATTTAATGTGAATTCTTCATTCATCAGAATACAGTTCGTAAAATATTTTAAGCATAGTTCTACAGTTTTTCTCAAAAGCATATACCAAAAGCACTCTTTTATTTTCATTCCAATGTACCCTATTTGCTGCGCTCAGTCATATCAACTTCCAAAAGTTTTGATTTACATTATACAATATACTTTATCCCACAAATTTCTGAACAACTACTACTTTTTTACATTGAAGTACTGCATATACTCATTAATCACTTAAAACAAGATGAATTTTAAATTTTACATCAATATCCATATAAGAAAAAATAAAGAAGGAAATTATTGAATTAAATAGAGTTACAACAACATGTTATGTGTCATGTAACAAAACTAACTACAGCCTATCAGGGCTAACTGCTGAGCAAGGCCTTGAGCCACTTTGAGCATTAATCACCACGCTTGCTCAAGACGGGTTGGTGATTTCAAACTTATAATTGTGAAACTATAAGTCCAGGTTTGCTCACGATGTTTTCCTTCACCGTATGTCAAAAAGATTGTTCAAAATTCCTTCGGAATCAAAAATTGATGAAAGACTAAATTAATCATACATAAAGTGATAATACATTTAATTTAATTACATAGTTATTTTATAAGTTTTATATATATATATATGTATTTCTCGAACCGGTAAGATACTAGCAACAATTTTAAAAATATCTTGAAAGTACCAAGATTACTATATTAATTAAGTTAAGTAAGATTATATCTTTTACTTCGTACACGAACGTAAATGCTTTCACTTTGATCTTTTACGGAGTTATTTTGTGATATACATTAAACATTCCAGAAAATAATGAAAATAGTTTGAATAAAATTAGTACATAAAAAGCGAGACAAACTCTTATCTTGAATCAATATCTTGTATAAATAATAGTTCACTATTATATCACATTAATCAACCAGTCTGGTTATTGTTTCTTGGAGTGCTGTAATCTGAAATTGGAGAACTCACCACAAGCTTTGTGTTTCCCGACACATTTCGATTTCATTGATGGACAGTTTTACTGGTCTAAGCCGTTTTAGCATTCCCTTGCAATTCATCCCTTTTGTATATGTATATTGTTACGATAATTAAGAAGTTTATTTCAACTTATTATCGAGTATTCAAAGTATTTTAATATCGATGTATTACTTAAAGACGATATTTTATAGGATAACAACACAATTGACCATTGAGTAAGAGTTTTTTATTTATTGATATATGAAAAATATATGCCGTAACTTTTTACGAACTATAACTATCATCCAAACAATTTTTTTGAAATTTTTCACTATGTCTAACTCATCAATCGTGATGTAACAAAAATTATATGAGACCATTTTGGCGATAAATCCATACGATGCAAAAAGACTCATCAATTATGAAATCGTTAAATAATTGTTATAACATTTAATGATAAATTAGAAACAAACTTCAAACTAAATTAGAAGCCAATTATCAAAAACCAAACAAAAAGTCAAAGTTCTTGTAAAAAAAACGTGACAACTATTTTATTGGAAAATTTTCTCTATTATCAAGCAATAAGATAACTTCTATAAAGCTCTTTCTATTCATAAAATATATTTTCTTGTAAGAAAACTTGAGATTTCTATTCGAACTTTCAAAGCACTTGAACTGATAAGTGCGAGAGCTATAAAAACTGTAACTTAATGAAATATTTATATTGCTTTTAAAACTTAGATTACATTTGAACTTTAATATTTCTATTCTATGAAATCGTATAGTAAAATAAACTAATAAAGTTATATTATAGAATAAAAAGAAAATGAACAATAACATTTTCTTGAAATCTGCAGAACTTGTACAATTGATGTCTAGATAATGGCTTGCAGTCTTCGTAATCTGACTCAGACTGGTAAATAGTTTGGAAGACTATGTTCTAAAAGATGCATTCTAAATCCTGCTCATGTTAATGAACTTTTCTCGTCACAATTCCTTTTTATAATTTATAATAGATGAGGATTTTTCATTTCTAATAACCTATCCTATTATTTTAAGTGCAATGCTACAGATGCGACCACTAAATTTAAAAACTTCCACTGTCAAACAAATAACCACAGAAACTCTATCTGACAAACTGATAACGATGTTTCATTCCAAGCGGTCAGCATAATGTCAAGGGAAGTTAGATGAAACCAATGTTATGATAGCTGTCGATGTACACTCGAGATTACAAAATGATTATTTCAACTGATCTAGCATAGTGCAAAGAATATAGAAGACAAAGAATATCGTTGGAAGTATGCTAACTGTTTAAAATCTTAACTATAATATTATTAGGCTTATGGCAAATAAGTTGACGCTTTATTTTTAATAATTTTGAACATATATAAGAAGAAAAATCATATTATATATATATTATTAAAGTCATCAGTCGAGCACTAACGAAAATCTTAGGTAAGAAACTTTATCAATATGCTTAATGGAATTGTTTCCAGGAATTTGATATTAAAGTTATTAACTTTCAACTAAAACAAAAGGGTATTTATAAATATGCAATGTTTATATGTGATTAAACAAAAAGTTGACTTTTTAAATATAATCAGATATACATATTGATAACAGTTTAAAAAAATAAGTGATAAGCTGAATATTGCAATCTTTATAAAATTTTCGATGAATTTGGCAATATTTTATACAACTCATTATAAAACTTTTCATTTAAATAACTATTCGAAGTCCATAAAATGTTTCAGATACGATGTTTCAGATAAATACGTAAAAAGAAACACACCCAAAAAAGGCTCAAAACACTTCAAAGAGAAATTCAATGTGACGTACGTCATTTTAAATCAATAACGAATATTTTTTGTGGTCAGTAAAATGTCAAAGGAGATTGTTCGAAACCACACTTCATGTTAAAGCTTTCAATATTTTTTCAAAAGAGTTTATTTACGAACGTACAATATTTCTGTCAGACATTTAAATAGAAACTTATATTATTTATAATATTATAATAGTTTCTCAGTAATGTACATAACGAAAAGAAAATAATTCAGATACTAATATAATCATTTACGAAGATAAAACATCCAAGTCAAGATAATTACGTGTTATTGTCATTTAACACCAATAAAATATTTTCCTCCGAAAAGTTGTCTCCAAATTAAAATAGAATTACCACAAATACTTTCTTTTCCTTTTCAAAGATTTTTGATTATTTAATATAAAATTTATTTCATTTGAAATTTAATTAATCGCTCCGAATTATCAGAAAAACGCAAAACAATCTTATTTTTAATTGATGATTGTTTGAAGTGAACCTCTGATTTTCAGCTGTTGTTTAAAAGTTTCAGTATCACGATACTTAAAAGTTTTAACGAGGTTTTGTCAAATGAGTTCAAACTTTATTACAGAACCCCTAAAACTCAATTTTTAAAAACTTCTTTATTTACCAGGAAGGAATAAGGGTTGAAATACTTACATGAATTCATCAAATTACATATTTTATAAGGGTAAAGAATTTCAATAGGGCTAATAATAACGAACTATAAAGACCAAAATAAAATTCATTGTTCAAAATCAAATACTAAGTATAAAAATAAAATTTCCTTTTTACATGCAAAATTTTGTATTAAATTGAGAATCTCCTTTCGGAAGGCATTTAACAAGTCGTTGAAATAATAGTAACACGTTAACGAAATAATTATTTCATGTTTCATATAAAAGCGAAGCGAAATGTTACACGAACATTTCAACTCAAGATCTTCAACCTCGCAGTATTTCAAATACGTACAGAGTTTAATATTACTCAAGTTTACAAGTTTTAGTTGAAGTGCCATTACCTTAACATTTAAGTGTAACAGAATAAGATATAATATACAAATGAGCCGGCTGGCTTTCGCTTGAATATTTTTGATTAAATATCTAATTTAATCTCTTCTTCTTATTTTGACAGGTACAGTTTTCTTTTTTATATACAGAGTAGTCAGTTGGATTAACATATCTATTTATAATCATATGCAACTACAACATTATTATTATTAATTCTGCAACAGCTTACCTCTTTACAACTATAAGTCTACTTTGAATCATCTTAGTTCTTGCATATAAAATAATTCGTGTGAAAACCATATCATGTAAAACAAAAATTCTGAAATATGTCTATTTATCCTTCGCTATATATATGACAACCATCCAAATACAATATAGTATGTCAAAAAGAGAACAAAAAAATATTTTCAGTATAATATTTTACATTATTTTGTAAATCATATAGTAGTCCCTAAGTAAATATTAATTTTATAGTATTAAAGCGAACTAACAAACGACAATTAGCTTTTGAGAGTGGAATTCAAACAATGTACAATTTCTAAGTCTGGAAGGTACTGAAAGGCTTATGTTAGAAGTTCCTATTATGTATTATATTCAGGTGAAGCATATATACATATACATATGTATATATAATGTTATGTAACTTCATAATTTTCCTTATCATCTGTAAAGAAAACTCGTATCTTTAGACAAAATATAAAAAGCATTTATATGTATATATTTTTATTTCCATGCCCTCATACTTTCCAACATAGTCAATTTTAATGTTAATTAAAATTAATCAACCTCTTGACTCATGAAGAACTAACAAAAGTTAGACTTTCAACAATCGCAGAAGCCTTGTTACAAGTTAGTTTATTGTGGATTACTCAACCGCTGTCTGGACTTTATTTGGCTCCAGATACTTCTAAGAATAAGAATATATTTAGTAAATAATAACCAAACGACTGTCAGAATTATGTTATTTTTGAAATATTTATGACTATTCTCTTTATTTGTGACTTGTCAATAGATTGGATTGAAAAAAGATGTTATGCATTTTGATTTGTCTTTCTTAACTTGTTTTCGATTATAAAGTAATGATTTAATAATATTTTCCGTGTGTAGTAATCATAGTATTTACTGTTAATTATACAGACTGTGGGAACTATATAATTTACTTAAAGAATTTCATTCTTAACTATTTATTTATTTTTATATCCGTTCATATATTTTTATAAAATATAATATATAAAAACAATTTATGCATAAATGAATGTAATGCTTTGTCATATTTTATTGGAATCTTTCCTAGATATTGTAATTGATAAACTAAAATAAAATAATGTTTCTAATACATAATATTGTTTAATTATTGTTTTTGACAACCCTTATATTTTTATATGAAAAAAGCGCTGTGAATCCTTTATTTTATACATGGAAGTACATGTTATAAATGTAGGTTTAGGTACGTTTTGTAATTATTGAGAGAATTCGCTAATGAATAATTCATAATAATTTTAATTTACATGTGACATTGTTGGCACATAACCATCTAACATGAAAATGGTACTTTGTTTTTTATTTTTCACCCCCGACGCAAAAACGATGGGGTGTTATAAGTTTGACGTGTCTGTGTGTGTCTGTCTGAGGCAACGTAGCTCCCAAACGGATGATTCGATTTTATTGCGGTTCTTTTGGAACACTAATATCTCCTGGAACTACGAAGCTGGTCTACTGTTAGGGCTCGAAGATAGGAGACGTAACCCTGGACTGTCTTTTAGTGAATCCATCGAGTAGGAGCTAGTTAAATTTGCCTTGACTGGTTCTCTTCATTTTTCTAATTAGGGGGTTTTATTAAAATATTAATGTATCTTATTTGACAATCAAATAATGATTACTTTTTGTTATTCACTTGTAGGTTGATCGCGTTGGCTTTTTTATTTTCATTAAAATATTTTGTATCTAGGTACTTATAACAAATATTGTGTGGATCTATGAAGCATGTTAATGATACCACAAAATTAATAATATATTTAATAATATTTGTGTATTTAGAGTGATCCCCTCACGGAAGCTGTCAAAACTTAGTTCTAGACAAGTGGTCTTAATATCGTTTATCGTGCTAGTACTTTAAAATATTAACGACACTATAAAATATCAGAAACAGTTTAAATCCGTCACTAAACAATGTTTACTTCGTATTTAGAACACATTTATTATTGTTACAGTTGTTATTATTTGCTTGAAATTCTCTCATCACGTATGC